CAAACATTTATTTTTTTAATATAATTTTCTTACTTGTCAACTCAACACTTCTTCATAAATATTCTGGATTAAACATCCTGTTCTAAATTGATCTCAATAAGTTGCTCCTTCTGAATCTGCAATGAATTGAGAAGAAAAAATGAGTTCACTGATTAACATCTACCACCTCATTTTGTAATTTAAAATGTTACAATTAAGTATAAAATAAAATAAAAAATGCTTCTGATATTTAATTATTGGTTTAGAAAAATATGGAGAAAAATATTTACATTTAAATAAGTTTCCTCCTCCCCCTGCTCCTCCATGCATTTAGACACTCCTGTAAAGCATATGGCCACTGCTTCACCAATCTCGGTCATGTTACTATCACTTCTGAAGCAAGTAGGTTTTTAATGGGTGGATTTGCCAGTGCCATGCCCAACCAGTTTTGAGTTCAGAGTTGTCTTTCTCCTTGACCGGTTACACAGTCTACCCTTCTAATTAACCCATAGCTGTGGAGAGAAGAGATGGATTCCTACCTTTCCCAAGGATATTTATGCAAAAATGTACACCACTGCCTTGGCTGGAATTTGAACCGGTCATACTAATTCCACTTTCTGTACTCATAACCACTATATTATGCATGTATCCAAATAAGTTTTTACTAATCCACATCTTCCTGGCATTAGTTTAAACTGAGCTCTTTTTTTATATATATTGTGACCATTTTCCTTAAAGCTCATATTGTTTTGTTATTATAAAAGGTGTTCCAATAACTTGAACCATTTTTAAACTTAATTCACATTTAAAATTGGTTCAAGATATTGGAACATCCTTTATAATAATAATTATAGCTGACAGATAATGGAAAAAAGAAAAAACAGTGTCAAATTAAATTGATGCAAGGAGGATATTTTTTGATGTTTTTTAATTGGTATCACCCCATGCAAGGCAGTAAAGCCACTAAGATGCAAGGGGTTACAGAGTGTGAAAGAATTAGGAACAGAAACATTAATAATAAGCAGGAAGAGGAAAGAGTAATTAGGAGAATAGTAGATTGCAATTGACATTGCATTTAAATTTTTGCAGATTAAAGTTGACTGGAAAGCATGGAGTCAGAAGGTAGTTCCACAGGTGAGAAGTGCAAGAAAAGAAACTGTTAGCATAAAATTTACAGCCACATCTAACCAACTCAACTGTAAATTGGTGAGATCTAGATGCCAGTCTGGTACTGGGCGTAATTCAAAAAGTCTAGGTATCATAGTGAAGAGCTCATTCAAGCAATAAACATGAAAGCATTTATAAAAAACAGTACAGGGAAGATACATTATGGCAACAGGAAAGTGACTGAATCTGAGATTCCAGGTCAGGATCAATAATATTGTGGATTCTTCTTTTGATTTTATCAAGGAGTTCAAGGTAAAAGCAGGGGCACCGGATCATATGTGGCAGCAATATTTTAAGCATAGATGCATAATAAACTTATAGATACGTAAGATAGATTCTGTAGATAACCTGCCTCGCAAGAGACAGTGAACCAACTTTTTTAGCAACTGACCTAGCAATGGATTCATTATAGTCTTTTCACTTTATGTCAGCTGGGAATATTAGTTTGTGATGGTGCAACAAGTTACTTTCCTGGGGGTTAGCATTAGCCATGCCAATGGAAGGCAGAGGGGGGGTCTCTCAGATGATTAATGGAGAGAACTTTAGTTTTAGAGACATTAAAATTAAAGATCATAGGTTAAAGAAATGATAAAATGAGATTATGTTTCTGTTGAGCTTTAAATCACCTTTACAAGAGCCAGATCAGGCCTAAATTGGAGTACCAGTCTTATACTTGGGTAGGAGCTGTCCAGTTCTCACTTTCCAGTATTGATAGTCCAAAAGTGTCTCCACATCCTCGTGGGTGACAACTCCCTCTTTCACAGACAAAACGTTGCAAGCCTCTCACTGCTCTACCACTATTTCCATGGGAAGTGCTCAGATTAACTACATTCCTTAGTTCTACCAGTTTTAACCATCATAGCTAAGACCCGCCTTGCCATGCCCATTGTAGCAACCACTCTCATTCCTTTTGTATTCCATTGGTGAGAAGTAAGTTCCACTTGAGCAGCTTCTTCCTGTGAAGCAATGCTTCGTGGAACCAATTCCCAAGAGGATGTTTTCCAAATCATTAAGCTCTTGTTCAAGTCTAGGGTTAAACATTATCTTCCCCACATATCTGTCTAAACTGTGCCCCTTACTCTGTAATCCTCTACCTCAAATGGTTCCAAGGGCCTTGTACAGGGTGGACCTCACTGTAGTTGATATGCTATTAAGCAAAAATCATGTAGCCCAACTCATGTCTCTGAATTGAAAATGCAACCAGAAATCAGAAAATGATTATTCATATATAAAAGCAAGTGTCTGTTATTTTGTAAGGCATAAAACATATTATGCTACTTTTGGTTCATCTCCAAAAATGTATTTATATTTTGCCTACTTAACCCCAAAAATATGTCTGCATAAAATGGTATATGTATTGCTCATCTGAACTTAGTAGATACCAAAAAGCATTGGAAATTATATGTGAATTTAATGCAGTATACAAACAAGGAAGTTAAACCACTTGAATTAAGTTTTATTGCAAGAGAAACCTTATATTTTATAAACATTTAATAAAACAATGATAACAAAAGGAAAGAAAAAGAAGTTTGAAGACTTTGATGCTTTGCAGACTTCCTTTAACAGTCCATAGATGTAACTTTTCATCTGGCAATGTCCTGTAGTAGCAGTTTCCCTAAAGTTGTCTGTTCCTTCTTGCCCATAACATGGTGGATGCAAAACAAAAATTCATTTATGGTTTATACCTTATATTGGCCAATATGATGTCAGCATTAGGTGCTTAATTTTGACCAGTGAGCTGGCTTGTTCAATTTACTACATAATACACCTTAAAAATAAGTGGCATAACTCCTTGGGTTGCTTCTTTTTTAACTATAATTTCAAGAATTATTGCAATGAAAACCGAATTTCTTAAAATAAAAAATGAAAAATATATTGTAATAATTTAAATATCTGCTTTGACATTTTAATTTTGGTTTTAATTGCAAGAAAGTAACATGAAGTTAGTTATGAAAAAATGAAAATTGCTTTTGCATACTTAAAATTTGTTTTAGACAGATGGAAATAAAATAAGCACATCCCATCTCTCCTCTCACTTGTAACCCTCCTTTATAATAAAATAAATGTTTTCAGCCCTAAAGATGAATTAGTCAAAGCTTCCTAAGCTTGTACTTGGAGTTGTTGCTATATTACAGACATTTTTTAATTTAAATTATTGTTATTCTAAATTTACTTCATTTATGCTGCGATTGATGCATGTTTGAAAAAAAGTAAGTCCTAAATATCACCCCACCAAAAAAAGTAACCATTAAAAGAAAATATAGAATTTGATGGAAATCTGTTAATTTATTGATTATTTATTTGGATTTTTAAATATTTTTCTGGAGTTTCAATAGGTTTATTATTGCAGTAAAAAGACATATTAACGAAAACGTTTAATGGAAAATGAAGAGCAAGGAGAAAGTAAAAATATTTAATTACCTTATAGGCATAAATTAAAAAAAAAATAAACTAGAATAAAAATATATTTTTTAGTTTTCTTTCATGGATTTATCTCTTTACAGGTCATTATAATTTTTTTCCTTCTCCTATGTTGGCCTATTATAGGCTGGTTTCTATTGAAATAATCCCTGAGATTTTGAAAAACATTAATTAGTTTTTACTAATGTTTACAATGGATATCTTTTAGCTGTCAATTAAGTACAAAGCTTAAGTTGGTTTGTTTTTCTTGGTCATATCTGATGAAAGCACACTTAAAGTTACAAGTGTTTCACAGGGACAGCTGAAGTATGAATAACCAAAAATGACAACAACTATCTGGTATTACTTACTATGACAAGGATATATTCCATTATTAAAATTCCTTTATATGACAAATGATACACTTTTACTATTGATAAACCAGAACAAAATAAATAAGTTATTTTCTCTTTATTAAGTTTTGATCGGCAGACATTTGTAATATATTATGTAATATGCTGTATATAAAACTAAAGTAATTGTTAAATAGTTATTGAAAATGACTTAAGTTGCTATTTATTACAGTAAGTTTTATCACACATAATGACAACCTTTTGAAAATTTTAAGTTCAGGTGTAACATAGCTCAAAAAAGGAGAGAAAAATTGATTCTTCAATGAACTACTAATCTGTTGCAGATTTGAATCAACACACAACAAAGCAAAAGGCTAAAAAGGCTTTTAAATATAAAAATATTTTTATTTTTGTGTTTTTTACAACTAAATTTTTCTCAGTGTGTATGAGTTTTAAAGTTCCTTGTTTGTAGTTGTTTGTTAAGAAAGAAATGTGTTTTCTTTATGCGTGAGAAAGAAGAAGCAATGGAGAAAGTGAAGAGGAAAGTGTCATAGCTTGGTGAGGAAAATGGGTGAATGAATAAGAGAATCTCTTTTAAGCTGTGTGCGCCATATGTGTCTATGTGTTGCTATCTCAATCTTCTTACTGCTTGTCTGGTCTAGAGACTTTGCTTATATAATCTTCAAAGGGATCACAAAGCATGTTTTTTATTGTCAGCAGTAACATGTCCCATTGGTTGAAAAATGTTAAATATTTATTTTCAAATGATTAATTAAGTAACTGGAAGGATGCATGAATCCTCTGACTCAGAAATCTTTTTTTTTTTTTTTTTTGTCATTTGATGTTCGATTGTCTTGGTGTTTTATTTCCATCTTCACTCCAAAATCCTTTTGCTGTGAGTGAGAAAATGACAGATGATATGTTTCTGAGAAAAATTAGCCAAGTCATGAAAGTGTCAAAATTTACAAATTCAAATAAGACATGTTCAAATAGAAAATATAAGAACACAAAAGTATACAAATAAAATAATTTAAAATAGTACCAAATACCTCTGAAAACATCTTGGCTCAGTATTTGAAGTTAATAATATATTCTGAGACTATGGTTGCAGAGAAACAATTTTTTTCCATATGTCCACTGTGTGACCTGCCAGGACATATACTGTTTGGAAATAGTGATTTTTCTTCTTTTATTCTTCTCTCCTTTAATCGACTTTTTTGGGGACAGTGTGCTGGGTTGGATTTCTAACTATTCCTATGCAACCTGGTTGATTAATGGCATTAGGTTACTAGTTTGTTATGGAAGTTATCATTTTGTAACACTATTGTCTTGTTTGTTGAACTGGGATACTTTTTATCTGGTGGAAAGAGAGGCATCTCTCTCTTTCTCTATCTATCTATCTATCTCTCTATCTATCTCTCTATCTATCTATCTATCTATCTATCTATCTATCTCTATGATAGATTGTAGTTGAGATATTAATGTGGTCACATGAGGATGCTTTTGAAAATGAGATAATGCAGCATGTTGCATACAATATGCCACATTGTTTGGTTGGGACTAAGAAGTTGGTTTGCCTGGGGACTACATGGAGGGAAAACAAGATCTGTCTTTTCACTACACCATCCTGTTGTTGAAGATAAAAAGAAGAGAAAGAATGTTTGTGTCCTTTCCTTTTATACTGCTTTATACAACATCACCTAGCAGACATTAAGAGAAGTTACTTGGAAGACAAGATGGAATAATCCCCCACTATGTACAACTGACATGTGGGTGTAAAATATAATGTATTACTTATGAAGAGACAAATGTACATTAAAGTAACAACAAACCCTTTATATAGAAGCTGTCATTGGAACATTGGTTTATATGCTTCAAGTAACATCACAAAGAAATGAAATTGAAGTCAAACTTTTTGTGAAAACTGTATTGATAAGTTTGACATTACATTAAAAAAAGTATCCAAAAATCTTCAGAATAGTTTTACTGAAAATAAACATATATATATATATATATATATATATATATCTTTCATGCATATGTATGTTATGAATAGTGTCCAGTGGGTCTCCATGAATATTTAAATGAGATCTCATTTAAATATTCATGGAGACCTACTGGACACTATTTGTAACATATTTGTTGACAAGACTAATATAATAGCATCATCTACATGCAAAAAAAGGCTAAAAATAATGAAAGCCTTATTAATAAAAACAAAAAAAAACAATACTTAATAATATTAACTATGAACATGGACACAATATCTTGACCATGTTTTGAAAAATGAAAACATTTTATAAAACATACATGCAACAAACTATTTCTTATTTAACAGTTAAAATATTTAATCCTTGAAAATGGCTAAATGTATAGCCGAAAGTGCTTGGATAAAAAGAACATTCGGACAGTTTTATATAATTTATCATTTGAAAAGAAAAAAGTTATTAGATGACATGAAAAATTGTATAAAAAACTAAATAAAAGCACCTTATATATATATATATATATATATATATATATATTTAAAAGAAGAGATGATTCTCTGGCCATCACACTTGGTCAGCTCAGCATATGACTTTACATGCATGCATGTAATGTATATGTCTGTGTTGTGTGTGAATGCCATTTAATGTGTGCATGCACACACACATTCTTACTTGTCTGACCTTGAATTGTTCACCAATGCTCCTATCTGCTCAGTCTTGAGCCATCCACCCAAACCCTAACTGTTCTAGAATAGACCCTAACCATCCAGAGAGGCCCTAACTATCCCAGCTGAGATGGTCCCTAACTATCCTGGCCTCAAATTGGCCAGGGTGACCCTAACTGTTCTAGCCTTGAACTGTCTGGATAGATCCTAACTGTCTCAGCTTCAAACTGTCTGGATGGACCTTAACCATCCCAGACTCAAATTGCCCAGAGAGATCCTAACCATCCCAGCCTCAAGCTGTCCAGATGGACCCTAACTGTCCCATGCTTGAACTGTCCAGATGGACCATAAATTGCTTGGCCTGAAATTATTTAACCAAGTCCTTAAAATATTAAAGTTAACCATATAATGTTTGTATTGGGGGTGGGGAGTTGAGTTGAGTTGATTGCTATTTTCCTATTACTTTACAACAAGACAATACACACACACACAAAAAAAAATCAACCATCCGTTCAGTCTACTAAATCTGACCACCTTACAAAAAAAGTTATAAAAATATTTTTGAATTTGCTTGGGTAAAAAAAAAAAGAAAGAAATTTATGCTTCTTTAATTTTATTAATGATTTATAGAAGAATCATTTCTTTTCCTGCTTCTACTCATTGTATGTGTATTAATAGCTGATTTTGATGATATTATTTTTTTTCTGTCTCCCTCTGTTGGCCTAGAATGATGTACCTCTTTACACAATAGGATTTGAAATTGTTTTCAAGCATTTAATTGTAGTGTACATATAAGTTCAAAACAGGAGACACACGCATGCTTTCTTGACAGAACCAGTTTGAAAAAACTATAAACAACAACATTCAAAACAATACACAAAAAACATCAACCGTCTGTTCAGCCAACTAAATCTGACCACCTTACAAAAAAGTTATTTTTCTTGTTGGTATGCTTGTGTTCATTTATAGTTGTGATGCAGGAAAAGTCTTTCTATTCCAGTACATTTTGAAGATGGGAATATATTTTGGAAGGACTACTTTAGTGACTATCACTGAATGTTCTGTAATGTTACCGACAAGTGGGATGACATGATATAACCTAAAATATGCCAGAAACCCTTTCATATAACATTATTTTTTAATATCTCATATCATTTTTGCATGTTCATAGTTATGAACAATTTCATACATAAGAAAGGCTTTTGTTATATTTTTGTAAGAAAAGAAAATTCACAAGATGACTTAATTTGTTTTATATAAAGAAAGAAGGAAAATGGATTTATACCAATACAGTTATGGAAGCTATGGCTCCAATGAAGCAGAAACAAATTGGCAGGGATTAGCTGATTGCTGTTAATAGGGCTTTTCATTATCAAGTCTCTTTGTTGACATAACTATAAAACCTCTTCTTGGTAGTATTTTTCATTTGAATATGACAACTCAGTTTTGGAATTCCATATTTCACAAGCTTCCTTGCTTTGCCGAATGTAAGTATTTATTTTCTTTTTAAGAGATTTCACTAATCTAAATTTGTTTTGTAGTGAGACTCACAGTCATGGATCATAAGATATTTCAGCATGTCAAAAATCTTGGCAGGGTGGGGGTTAAATAAGATATTGGGGTTAGATGCAAGAATTATATCAGGAAATAGAGTTGAAACTGATTTTAGCCATAGAAATATGGCCCTAAAAAAGGGGAATACACTAAAGGCTAAAAAAAAAAAAAAAAAAATTAACTACAAAATACTAATAGTCAAATAGTACCAACTATAAAAAATAATCTATAACTCTATTAAAAGATATCAAATAATTACAGAAAACACAGTTACTTTATTTTAACTATTTTGCTATTATACTGTTTGGTTAACTTCTAATAAGAAGATAAAGGAAGACATTTAACAAATATATAAAAAATAAATCAATCATGGTTGCATTTAAGTACTGTATAGTGTGAGTTTTTAGGATCAGTTTTTTATGCCAAAAATAAGTGGTCACACTATAATTTTTTTTAATAGGTTAAAAATCAGGCATTTTTGGTACTATACGCTGGTAAAATATTTTTCTGGAGGAGGTTAGAACTCCTGTATAAACATTCATGGGTTGCACTATACATGAAGTCAGCTTATACATGAGTATATATGATATACTATATTTATACTATATTTGGACTTGATAAATAGACATAATTCTGACTGATCTTTTAGTTATTTAATCACTACCTGCTTAACATTGTGACTATTTTGTTACATTTAAGACATTTTTTACACTAACAAAATAAAGTAAAAGCCTGTTTTTATTTTTTACAGAAATTCAGATATAACGTAATCAGAAGTAACCTCATAGTTTCTTCTATTTTGGTCATATTTTTCTGTTATTTTGGTCATATTTTTCTGTTATTTAAGTCATATTTTTCTGTTATTTAAGTCATATTTTTCTGTTATTTAAGTCATATTTTTCTGTTATTTTGGTCATATTTTTCTGTTATTTAAGTCATATTTTTCTGTTATTTAAGTCATATTTTTCTGTTATTTAAGTCATATTTTTCTGTTATTTTGGTCATATTTTTCTGTTATTTAAGTCATATTTTTCTGTTATTTTGGTCATATTTTTCTGTTATTTAAGTCATATTTTTCTGTTATTTAAATCATATTTTTCTGTTATTAAATCATATTTTTCTGTTATTAAATCATATTTTTCTTTTATTAAATCATATTTTTCTTCTATATATATATTTTTATGTACATTTTTCAAACTATAAACAGAATATGAGCAAAATGAATTTTCATAATTTCTGTGGATGCAAAATTGATGTTTCTAAACTTCAGTTAGTTTTTGATTTTTGCTTAATAAAAAGTTGTATTAAAAATTTATTTGTTTTTATTTTCTACTGTAACAAAAATGATTTATTCATGGAATTCTTTAATTCAAAGATAATTTGCTTTCCAGAAGAGAAACATTTAAAAAATTAAAAAACCGAAAATTCTGACACATAAGGTAAAATTGGATGTTTTAAGAGGCTATGTCAATATTAATGTTAATTTTTGTGAATGCCAATTTAGCATGCCCCCCCCCGACACCTCCTACATGCAGTGATAACGATTGCAAAAAACAATATATAACAATCAATCTGAATATTGCAATATTTTACTGAAAATTTTTTACATGTTTTGAATTCAATCTGCAGTGAAAATTTAAAAAAATGTGATTGTTATTAGCCAGGAATTAGTGTAAACATTCAGTCAGTAACATGCCATGCGTGATACATGCTTAGGTAATTATGAATCTTTTGATACATGACTGCCGAGGCAGATTTTTTCCTGCCGTAGGTTGCCATTTCTTTCTGCGGTAGACCAGTTGCTATCCAAGGTTACAGAATCTGGACTGTCCTGCTATTTACCCATAGCTGGAGGGAGAAGAAAATTTATACCTTTCTCAAGGTTATTAGCATATAAGCAAATCTAATGAATTTGACTGGAATTCAAATTCAGCTCTTCGATTCCTCAATCTGAGCTGATATTCATTACTCATTTTCTTTTTATCATCATTGCATCTTCTTCTATGTGTTGTGTACCTTCAGGATCATGACTCTCCACAACTTCCTGTCCTTTGTAGTGCTGCTGTTCTGTCATCCATTTACACAAGCTTGTTGTTACCCCTGCCCCTCAATATGTTCTATGAGTGTCATATTTTCAAAGACTTCTTTCTTCATTATGTGTCCTAAAGATTTAACTGTTTTCCATTTTCTTTAAAACTTCCTCATTGCCCACATATTCTGTTCATGGTATTCTCAGCATCCTTCTGTCAACCCAAATTT